ATCTCATGGGGATTACTTTGAAGGGGACAAAATAGATATTCATGAATAAATAAATAATTTTTGAAAAACACAAAATTCGCGATACTTTTTGAACACATCTCGTATGTTGCACGTTTCGCGGTACATGTATGCAGTAGCCACAGCCAATTATGTTGCTAATTATGCAAATTACATTCGCAACAATTGCAACAATCAAGCATAACGAGTACAAATGCTACACACACATACACGAATGTGCATGCAACTGTGTTGGTGTGTATGKGTGTGTGTGCMAGTAAGTGGCAGTACAACTGTTAATTCAAGTGAAGGATTGAGCATTGCGCATTATTGTGCCGATTTGCAGAGGTTTTAGCCGCATCTGCATWTGYATGTGTGTGTAGTTGTTGCCATGTACSCGTAATTTGCATAAGAATGCCGCTCAAGTAGCGACTTACAGTTGTTGCTGCCGCACCATCAAATACACGCTGCACGCGCCGTCCACCGAACGCTTATCCAAGGCTGCTGAWCGCTTGCTTTTTCGCTTTTTTCACTGATGAGAATTTAATTTACTGGCAACTTGGTGTTTTTGTTTAATTTTGTTTGCAGTGGTTGCTGGTGTGTGTTTGTGCATTTGTAAATAGCGTTAAAACACTTTAAATCACTTTGTGTACACAAAACATTTGCAGTCAACGAGTTTTGGGGTGGGTTAACACTATCCCATATGCGCCTGGGTATATGCTAGGCGTCCGCAGTTCGTGTACAAATCTTTATTTTGTGAGAATTAAGGAGAGGGCTGTTATTTCCCTGCTTTTCATCACCTTCATTAGTGTTGCAATGAGTTCTTAATAGCGATTTTCCATTTGATTGCATTTAGGAATTAGTGAACGGTGTCATTGATTTGCTTGAAAGGTCGTTGCTGGACATTTTTGCAATAAAAAATCGTAGTGTTAATATTTTTATTTTTTTTATGGCAATTGCCAGCGATGATTAACGTATGCAATTGATTGTTATTGCTATAAAAAATAAAATATTGGGTAGTCGAAAAAGTCTTTTCGTATTTTTTCAAACTTCAACTTATTTTTTTTTTTATATTTATATTCATAAATAAATAAGCAAATATGTGCCATTTTGCTCGACTACCTGTTTGCCATTTTTCCGCCAGAGACATTATTCGAGCGAACCATTGTTGTGCTACACGAACTGACACAGCATCATCTTCGTCAACTTCACAAATTTCATTGGTGGCTTGAGTGGAATTTTTCCTTTTTTTATTCAAAMATTTCAAATATAGTAAATTTCTTAAATTTTTCACTAATTTTAGAACAGCCGTGAYTTTTTTYCAACCTCCCTCACCTTTCTAATACTATATGGTGTGACACATTGTGATTTTTAGCACTGGAGATAWACGACTGCAACGACATATAGTATTGGCAAAATACGAAAATACTTTTTCGACTACCCAATATATGCAACTAACACTTCTCAGAAGCAAAACGATTTTACAAAATGCATCTTAACTTATCAAAATTTTGTTTACATACAAAAATTATCATAGATCACATCTAATGATTGGCTCAGATACCAAACTTCAATAAATCAGATGGCTCATCATCAAACAGTTTTGTTTTCCACCATAATTAGTTAAGCGTGAGCTTCAAACTTCAATTGAAGTGCCATTAAGGGCAATTTTAATCGAGCTATTGAGTGTTTGTTGTTATTGTTTTTATACTAATTTGGCCCAACAAGGGCACAGATTAAAAACACAAACAGCCAGTGTCTGAGCATATGCCAACACACCACCCCTCACCCTTCCGAATGTTGATCAATCGGCAACATACAAGCGCAATCCCCTTTTCCCTAATGACACGACAATAATGATGGCAATAAAAAAACGTATCACAGCAAAGTGAGATAACGGCTTATTGAACAATTTGAGCACGAAATTAACAAAAACGGATTTAGCGATATTTGAAAAAAAAAAACATCAACAATGTACATATGTTTTCATGTGTTATGCTCGTGGCTGATACATTTTTGAAAAGCATGCCCAACGTGCCCGCTGGAATATCAACGTACTTGTGTTATTGCGCTTATAATATGTTTGAGGACTTAGCAATAAAAAAATAAAATATTTGTATGTCTGCATAAGCTTCATTGTTGGTGTGTGTTTGTTGTTGGCACAAATCCGTTTGTTAGCTAAATTGGTCATTGATAGTATCAGTTTGCGAAAAAATCAAAAATCGCGCATAATACACGCTCACACTCGCGCGTGTCCGCACACACACACAAGCACCCTCATATGTTATGCACTGGACGAATGAGGATAAATGAGCGTGTTGTAACATTTTTAAATGCACCGATTAGTAGTCACTAAATCGCTAACAAGTACCGCACAGTTTATACTCACACACACACATATGTATATGTGTATACATACATACTCATATGAATGTAGTTATTGGCTGACTGCCTGTCGTTGAATCAATCAGGGTTTTTCCCTCCTATCTGCATTAAATGAGCCTTCAACGAGCGCGCAGTGCACACATATGTATTTTCATTTGCATTTACATATATGTGTGTGTGTGTGAGCTTTGTGAAGGGCACATGGACTCGGCGGACAACATGTTGGCATGAAGATGGCAATTATTTTCGGATTTAATGCACTTGGAAGGACATGAGCGCCGGCTGGTGGCGGCGAATTTAGCGAGAAAAAATTAAGTCGAAAATATGTAAATTTATATGTGTGCATATAAAAATGATACAATCGCGTTGGTCACACATGTGCCCATTCACACACACACACACATACATGGTATGGGACCTCATGTGTGCTACACACTGGCTGGTAACTAGTTTAGTATCAGACAATTTCTATAAATACTTGTATTCAGCGTTTCTGATTTGATAGGGTTGTTGTTGTGCCACAGAGAATTATCTTCATGTGTATGGAAATATTAGTATCTATTGATGAGCTTATACCTTTTTATTGGCATTAATATGACAGAAGWATTATTTGTGCAAATATACTTAGTGAGCGCTTTGGAGGATATATGGGCATGGGAATATGTGGATGAAGCCAAATAAAATTAAAAAAA